CTCCAGAGATTATGGCTCTGAAATGCAGCTCTAAATACAGGCTGCATTATATCCATCATATACACAAACTCCAAAAAAACCAAGATTACACTATAGGGGAATAAAGCTGTAGGCCTAATCCATATTGTAAATCTTGTCTGTCTGGATAACCTACATCCAGTGGTTATTGGGGAAAGCTGCTTTGTACTGGTCAGAGCTGTAGTCAAGGCTGGAGAGTTGACCTATATTGGCTGCTAGTTCTGTCTGCTTTGTTCAAATCACCACTTAGACATATAGATGCTGTTGAAAAATGTTGAAAAAGAGCATGGTTTCACTTTTGATAATCATTATGCATAACGAGAATCCAGGCACAGGGAGTCCAGGACAAGATGAAACACGAGAACTCATACATTCTCTTATCCTGATACTATTTTGTTCCTAACCAGTAATTTAGTCTATGGTGATAATGCAAATGAGACATATTCAGAAGCACAATTTCTGTAGACGGATGGAAATGTGGCTGCAGGTCAAGAAATCCTCTTTGATATCCTACTAAGTACCTGAATTTGGGTGAAATGTCTTGTGTAAAAAAATCAAACTTTTAAAAGGAAAGGTTTACAGCTGTACTTTATCAAAAGGACAGTGTGTCCTATTTTCATTTAAAGGACATTTACTGTACTTTCTGGGCTATTAAGCTCATATGTAAACAAACCCCAAAAGCGGAATTGGAAAAGAAAGTAAATTTTGTCGACATATAGGCACTTGACTGTAAGCCGCGGGCAACTGTTGTAACTGTTCACCAGACCTAATGACAAGGTGCTGTTTAAACACAGAGATTCTTGCACCACACTTTTAGATAAAACCATGTAATGCTTTTTTGAAACTTGTATTGTTTTTGTTCTCTCTCTACCTAATTCGTAACAATAATTAGATTAAGGCTAAAATGCAAAATAATCATTTCTAAATAGCCATTTTTTAACAACCCACTCTTAGGCATATGAGCAAATGTTTGCTCTAAATGCTTTTAAAGAGCAGCATTTATCAACAAAAGTAAAACAAAAAAAAAAACCTAAAAAAAACCTAAGGCTTTAATTTGGAAGATCTAGAAATGTTTAGTTTGTTCCCCTTGCACTTTATTCCTACTACAACAAACTATTTGACAAATGAATTGTGTAAAGCATACATATGTACACGAGGCAGGATATTATAGATAGACATTTCTGTTTGCCTAATTCCTTTATCTTATCGGCTACAAAATTAATCACAATAAAATCACAATCCCTCCCCCCTGGGACTGCCACCTGCTGGGGGGAGTGTGCATGCCTGGATGATCCTCTAGTAGCTGTGATGACAAGGGTACATTAGGAGAGTCTCTCATGGTAAACCAGTCCTTTAGTGATGGGTCAGGCAGAGCACAGTCCACATTCTCCCATATTTGTGAACCACGGAGGATCCACATGGGGCTTCACCACCTGCAGAGGGTTCCATGGGGCTTATGGGGCTCAGGTGCAGAGAGTTGGTGGTTGTCTCTGAAACCACATTATAAAGGACATTATTGAATGAATGGAGGCCAAAACAATCAGTTAGAATAGAGGCAGTTAGTACATTGCTATGAAAAAAAAAAAACAGTTGTAATCAAATAAATAACCTTTCTGTCTAATCTACAGGTAAAAGCTAATGAGGTAATGCAATGGTCAGAGTTGCATATGAAAAGAAATACATTTTAGGATGTGAGCAAGTGTTCATTTTGAACTATAATAACTGGAAGAGTGTGGAATACCAAGTGTCTATCGGTGACAAAAGGCCACACGGGTCTCTGATTGCCTTTATGGCCGACTGTATATTCTGGGAGAAGAGGATGGGATTGTGGGTGGGCTCAGGTGCGTTCAAGCGTCACAGGTTCAAATCAAAGCCACAACCTCAGGTCACCCTCCTTCTGTCACCCTCCGCTGCTTAATAAAACTAGAATAAGCCCAGGAGGGGAGAGCTGTCCTGGATGGCCATAACAAGGTGGATGGAGGAGAAGAAAGTTTAGGAAGTATATAGTTTACTCTTTTGCAACAGTCGTGCAGAGAAATTGTTTTATTTCAGGTTGTTACAGTTTGTTGTTGTCTTGATTTGCTGCAGGAGAAGTGTCTATATTATGACAACTACTGTTTACAGATTATGGGAACGATTAACTTGTTTGGTTGACATTTCTAAGACTTTTTGTTGTTTCTTTTTGTTGTTAAAATGTAACTGTTTTCTCAAATTATTTATATACTACAATCGTTCCTTTTCGTCCTATCGTTTTTTTGTCACTATTGCGTTTGTAAATCTATGGTAAAGCATGTACACTACTGACATTAGCTACATTGTTTTTGTAACCTTGTCCTTTTTTGAGTGCCTTTTTTATGGCAAAAAATAATAACAATTTGTATGACCAAATAAACAAACATATACTACCACTACTACTTTAAAAATGTATCAATGTTGAAATTGTTGATGTTACTTCTGCAGGTTTATGTTAACAGCAAAGTGATATGTTTTCCTGGTTGTTAGGCTTGCTACAAACCTAATCAGAACAGTTTGGACTTGGATTCTGCTACAACACCTGGTGGATATTTTATAACATCCAATCCCTATAAAAGAATGTGACTGCGAATGTGAGGCAGGAAGCATAAAAATGTTTAATGTTTAAAGTGGAATGCCTGAGAAAGAGGGTTAAATATGACCAAGAATAGAAATAGCACTATAGTGAAGAGCACGGAGTAATGAAACATTTAAGAGACATGAAACCAGAAGGGCTTTTCTTCAAAATGGAAGATAAGTGAAGCCAGGCCAGGCACATTAGCAGCGTATTCCATTAGCTATAACAGTTTAAAAAAAATAAATATATATATATATATATATATATATATATATATATATATATATATATATATATATATATATATGCATATTTTTTGTCTGTTTGCCATATTCCTTTAGTTGTATAATCTAGTGCCCAAAAAGGAGTATGTCTTTGCTATATTGGCCGAGGTTTAGGTTCTTTAAAATGTAAATAGAGACAGATAAAGTTAACTAAGAAAATTATCATCAGCTTTCAATACCCAATTTAAGAGCTCTGCGGAAACAACTTTTAAGCTCTAGTTTAGACCTTTTAAGATGACTTACTTGCTCTATAAGATTGTGATTCTGTAAAAAGGTGAGCATTCTTCTGATAAAGGCTGAGAAGAAAGGACAGCACTCCCCGTCAGTGATGGATGACAGCTGTACATTTGCAGATATAATTCTTATTTCTGAATTTACAAGTGAGATATACAGTGTCATTCCTATGTTGCAATCCAACAACACTATGATAATGAATGTGGCTATTTCCCATGCACTTGTTCCTTCAGTCAGACTCTCCACTCCCTCCCCGACAGATTTCTCTTACATGGGCTGATGCTGCTCACCCGCTCTGTGCTGCATCAGGATCACACGGCACATGTGAAGAGCTGCGTCCTCCTCCACTCTCTCCAATCACAACTGACATACGGCATCGAGCATGTGTCCCCATGTGTCCCCATGTGTTAGGCTGTGTGTGTCTGTGTGCTGGTGTGTGTGTCTGTGTGCTGGTGTGTGTGTCTGTGTGTGTGATGAGGCGGTCTGCGCACACGAACCACACACAAACTTGTTGATGAAGCTGTGATGGAAAAGAGCAGCTCATTTTACCAATGGAAATGATTATGTTTGGTCGAGGGTTGTGCTCTATACACAGTATATCTAATGTCTTCATCAAAACCAGTGTAAGACCTGCATACACACCTATGCAGGATTGGAATAAGAAGTGAATTCCATGTAATTTACAGTAATGTGATTTTTTCATTGATACAAATTTTCTTCCAAAGACATCTTTGGACATTCTAATCCAAATCAATCCCTCAATTCAGTCTCAGTTACACACTGCATTATATGTATCCGAGAACCTGGCACGTCATATCTTGCAGTTGCAATGATGATTTTCATATGATTACTTATTACCCCCAGTTTCAGTAACTTTTTTTTCACTGTTTCAATATAATGTTGTAATTAATTGTTATATATAAGCTATAAACAGTCAATAACTAATGACAAATAACCAATACTTGTCATACTATATACTAATTGTTTTTAATCAGCATTAGTTTAATAACCTTTAGCTAAGCCGACTATGCTACAGTATGTGTCTGTTGCTCGGCAGCAGAAGTCACTCATGTAACATGTGACAGTTGAAGTTTAAACTGCTCCACTTGTGAACATTATCGACACCTACGAAAGCAATGACTGTAAGTTTTACAAGTGTTTTGTGTTTGTTTTAACTCTGTTTGAGAGACACCAGGAAGCACAAACTAGTTTAGAAGTAAATGTATTAGAATATGTCTTTTTGTATAGCAAAGCTAATGTGCTTTATTTCTGTTCATTTCTATAGTGTCACATTTCCAAAGAGTAACGAGTTGTAGGTTAACACGTTCTGCAAGATAAAGGAGCAAGACTCACGTGAAGAGCGAGTTTGGCTGTTTCTCTACGTCAACATACACCACGTATCCAACCTGTAGTGATAACAGTTCGAGTCAATTCAATTCAATGTGTTAAGCCCTATTCAAGCCCTAAAACACAACAACGTCTGAGGACGTTACAAAACAGATCTGAGAATCCAACAGTTCAAACACAAAAAAATATTGAACACGTATTGGTCCAAAGGGGCAGTTAACCAATGTCCATGAAGGTGGATAAATGTTGATAAATGTCACAGTACACTTATCATCACTTTGAGGATTGTTTGTCAGTGAAATGAAGAGTGCTGTCTATAACCTGCTTTTCATCCAATCCAGTATTATCATTTCTCACATACAATCCAGTGGCTCTATTTCCGTAAAGTTTACCTGGAGTCATTCCTGTCTTGTTTTTGCAGTGGTTCTGTATTTATGCATGTTCTTTCCACTGCATCGCTTGACATGTTGACATGAGTGGCTTCTTCAGAATAATAAAGATGCTTACTTCTTATGTTTTCAGGAGGTATGCCAGTGCCTGAGGTGGCCTCTGACATCGCCTGTGCTGCCACCATGCTGAGCCCCGTCCTGAACGCCTCCAACGGAGACGGATCGGAGTCTGAAACCACCTCTGCCATCCTCGCCTCCGTCAAGGAACAGGTCAGAACTGTGCACTGAGCTTATATGCTTTTGGAAAAACTGTCCCTTGGGGTCCATTTCAAAACTGTGGAGACGTTATGCTAATGCTAATATCATGCATTTTTAGATTTTTTTTATTGAAGGCATATTCAATACAATACAATACAATTTATTCTTGTATAGCCCTAATTCACATCAGAAGTCATCTCAGAGGACTTAACAAAACAATTGAAATCACCAACACGGATCAGAGAATCAACAGTTAAAACACATGAAAAATATAAAGCACACACAAAAAAAATGTCCATACATGTTGTAGAATGTTAAAGTGTCCTGATCATCACCAATCCTTTCTGTTGGACACTAACTGTCCAACAAGACCCTCCTGCATCGGCAAGGAAAAAACTCATAAAAACCCGGTGGGAAAAAGTGAGAAACCTTGGGGAGAACTAGGGAAACCCACATTTGAGAGACCCATTTGAGAAAGGGATCCGCTCCTCCGGACGGACAGGCTAATGATCTAGGACCTAAGCTAGCTACAGGACGTGGACCAGTGGCCGCTGAACGTGGACAGGTCCGGTGCAGGGCCAAAGCAGTCCCAGGCGGGTCGGGCGGGGCAGTCCGCAGGTGTAGATGGAGGAGGCCAGGCTCAGAGATCCCGTCATCGTACCATGAAACAGACAATGGGACAACGGGTGAATAGCAAAGAACAAACTACAGTCAAAATCCTAATAATGCTAAACAGATGAAGTAGGAAGGAGGAGAGGATAGTGCTCAAGTTACCATACTTCTCCCAGCAAACTGACTCCCTATGCAGCTTGACTGACAGTCTGAGGAGTTTAGCCTTCCCTGAGTCTTACCTTCCTAGCCATATGCTAAACTAAAGAGGACTGTTTTAAGCCTAGCCTTGACTAAAGAGAGTGTATCTGAAAGGAGGCGAGACAGCAGCAGCCACGGCTAGGCTAGTCTAGGTTACAGCACCAAGATTCATGGATTGCACACCAGGTGTGGAAACCGATCCAGGCAAACAGCCTAACTATATGCTAAATTAAAATAGAGTGCTTTAAGCCTGGCCTTGAATGTGGAGACCGTATCTGCTTCCTTAACATAAATGGGAAGCTGATTCCACAGTAAAGGAGCTTGGTAGCTAAATGCTCTGCCGCCAACAGTGATTTTTGAGACCTTAGGAACCACCAGACGTCTGGCGTTTTGTGAGCACAACGCTCGACTAAGTTGATATGACACTAACGTGTCTTGGAGCCAAGTCATTTATGGCTTTGTATGTTAAGAGAAGGATTTTAAACTTTATTCTGTACTCCAAAGGGAGCCAGTGGAGTGATTTTAACACCAGAGTTATGTGCTCCCTCCTTTTGGTGCCTGTTAAGATCCTAGCTGGTGTATTCTGAGCGAGCTGGAAGCTCTTCAAAGAGGTTTTAGGGCATGCTGCCAGTAAAGCATTACAGTAGTCAAGTCTTGAGGTGACAAAAGCGCGGATAAGTTTTTCCGCGTCACTTTTAGGAAGGAAATTCCTGATTTTAGCGATGTTCCGCAAGTGGAAGTACGCCGTTCTAGTTGCTTGAAGAAAATGACTCCAAGATTCCTCACACTGTTGCTGGGTATAATACTGACATTATCGAGAGTGATTATCTGGTCAGTGAGGGAGTCACGCAGGCGCTTCGGACCGAGTAGGATCACTTCTGTCTTCTCCGGGTTAAGCATATAGGCCGTATACTAGGAGAGAACGGACCTGAAAAATAGCTTTGAAGAAGCCAATGCCCAATCCTTATTTGGTTCATATAAGACCATATCAAAAACTAAACACAAGGTTCATAGAGAGCACTAAACCACGTAATGTGTAAGCCCAAAATGGTTAGTGTGACATAAACAGAACTTGAGCCAGACCAAGTTAGAGCAAAACTTTGTCCATGAGCACTTTCCTATTGGGCTTTTATGAGCTTGGAGGTTAGCATTGTCCATCAAAATATACAGTTTATGGATAGGAATGGCTTGTTATGAAAATAGTTGTAGTTCATTCATATATCATTTGAATTAACCTGCATCCATGTCACAATTTAAATCCAGCTCATTGTTACTTATATACTTATTGGGATGATTTATTTTTGAAAGATGTTTTTTCTCATAAACTGCGATACAAAGTTGGGTAGAACTGTGCTGACATTTTGGGACTATTTTATGTTGCGACCAGCCCATATTACATTATGTTCCAATGCAGGCTCTGGGACTGGGCATATCTGTTCTCAGCGCCTCAGACGATGGGTCGGTAAGAAATGATTTACATGGTAACTTTATGACAATCCTATGATGAAAAAAAAATATATATATAGGCATCCACTTGCTGAGCATTTGAAGTGTTAAATACATTGTGCACATGCAGCCTGTGGTCATCTTGCTATAGACTATGTGTGTATGTGTGTTTTGGTGTCACGCTTAATGCCATATGATTAGCAGGCGGGCTGAAAAGTGTATCTTGTCCCCAGTGCTTTTATGATAAACAGGGCCCAGGGTAAACAGAATGATGGAAGGCCTTTGTGAGATGATGTGTCACAAATATGTCGCCGGCACATTTGGAGCTGTTCTGGGAGCTGCCTGCAGGATACAGCCGCTCTGTGCCATTTGAGAGAAGTCTAATGTGGCAGAGGCATCATTTCCCTTCATTTTGTCAAAGTCTCAAAACTCTGGCTTATTTTCGACAGGAAGGATAAAAGTGTGGTATCGTTTTACCTGCAGCAGGGACCACGAAGTACATATTCTGACTCCCAGTGAACGATGATTTTTACTTGCTAATTTGGTGTAAACAACTTAGATATTCCTCTTTGCACTGGTTTTTGATTGAAAATCCAGCCATATCTAGCCATAAGATCCAATGTGGCATTGATGAAGCCGGATCAAGAGATTGTGATGATACTTGGTGAGTTGCTTGACCTTTTTGTAGAAGCTTTTATCATTTTACTTATTCAAGAAAAAGAATATAATAAGTTTGCATATATATACGGAAGCTGTGGGGACCTGACAGATACAAATCCATAGACCAAAAGGCCAAAAGCCAAAAGAAAGTTGCTATTAGAAAAATCCGCAGTGAAGACCTGACCTTTTTGACATCACTATTGAGTTTAGTTCTTGCAATTCATACATTCATCCTTAGTTTAGGGTACATTCATCACTCTATAAGGATAAACTTTCCAAACATTACCAACGCAATGGTCTGAATACTTGAGTTTCATGGACTCGGAAAACTCCTGACTTTACATAATTTCAGTGATACTAGTGTAAAGGTTGAGTCCATATGTCCCAGTCATTGCAAATGGAGACTGCAGAATGTCCTTGAATACTATAGGGTGTTAAGTACAGCAGGATGGTACTGGATAAAAATAGAGGTATGCCAAGAGAGGAGAAATAATGGATTGTACGTGTTTTTCGCCTATATTGGAAGTAGGTCAATAACATATGCATCCTATATGTGTATAAGTGTCTTGGGTTTATTGCAGCTTGATAATCTACGGAACAAATAATTAGTCACTATCGTCCGCCTCTGCTGGAGTCAGTTTATTCATAATCCTGCAGCACAGTAATTTATTTGTGTTTATTTGTCGGATTCTCCCTTTTAGTGAGCAGATTTTTTATTTACTTTAGGGTTAATGCCAAGGTTGTTGTAGGTTATTCAGTTTGTGTCTGAAGAAATATGCACTGCAATGGACATTTGGCACTTTCAGACTGGAAATGATTCATGGTCTGAGCATAATGGGTGATGTTATAGCCCCTGTTTCAAATTGTTTTGAAACCTGAAGTGAAAGTGTTTCAGAATAAACTTTTAGCTCAACCTCCAGAAGACCTGAGAAGTTGTATACCAGAAATACACACATTGGTTTATTAGTGTTTTCTTATATCATTTTCACAATCATTGAAAGATTTTTTTTTTTTTTTGCATTACATATGCAACAACTTAATACTACAAATAAAAAAAATAGATTACAACATAAAAAATAATACAGTATAGTACACAAAGTATTTATACCAGTATAATACCGCCTTTTTCAAATGCTTTCACATATACATGGCTCTGACTTCCTGGTATGGTGAATGTGAGTCTGCGTCTAATCTGGACGGTCAACGCCGTTTTTGACAGTATTTTACCTTGAAAAAAAAAAAAGTCATTGCAGTGGCCCAGTGGCTGAAAGAGTGAGCCGCATGCTACCTCTACTTTTGATCATGGTTGTGTCTCCAGTGCTCGAGGATCATTTGTTATGTAGGTTTTTTGTTTGTTTTGTTTTTTTCAGCAGAGAAAAACCATCCAAACATGCTTCCACCGTGATGGGAAGTAAAGGCGCCATGCTGACCACCATTACAGCCACTCGGACACTACAAGGTCAAATAAGCAAAAATATAAACCTTTTTTTTACACATAAAAAGTTGCATAATGCTCCTTTAACATTATGAATTACAAGCTCTAGAAATGGTTGGATTGGAGATATAGAAATTTCCCCACTGTGGGACAAATAAAGGAATTCTTATCTTATAGATGTTATCGATGCATCATATCATTAAACAAAAGATACAGTATATGAGCCAAAATCCCGTCAGGAGAGCTCAAATGTTTAGAACTGTCTTACATATCAGTCCTGTTGCCAAATAACTACATAGTATTACCAATTACCGTATATCCAATTCAATACTAATATGACTTTCTGCATGTGCTAAGTCACTCCACGCTGCTATTTTCACCTTCCTCCTGCCGTTTACATGTGATTGATTTGTAATTCTGTGTCGTATTTATCATGTCTGTCAGGTTTTGTGGCCGTATCGTTCTTCATCTGAACTGTCAACACACGATGGCCTGGAGCACAGTGTGATGGCCCCTGTAAAAGCAACTTGTTATAATTTGAGATCCTCGATATTACCCTCTTCAATGACACATCCACTCAGGCTAAAGCTGGAGTATTGATTAGCCGTTTGTCGCCATAGCAGCTGAAGAAAATGTGAAGAAAATGTCTTGTCCGTCCTGT